GGGGGGGGGGGGGGGGGGGGGGGGGCCCTTCAGGGTCTAATGATGAACAGAAAAGCCAAGACACAAAAAAGAAAGAAATTCTTAATGACACAAATCCAGCACCTGGATGCAGCCTTGCCTGAAGTCAGCACACTTTTCCTTGGGACTTTTCACTTACGGGAGCTAAAACATACCTTTTTATGTTTAAGCTAGGGGGGCAGAGCCCGCTCATTGCCTGCCCAACCATCCATCGTCCCGGTCTTCCTTAGTACCACAGCCCCAACTTTACTCCAGGAAGCAATGGACACAACTAACGTACTGCAGAAAACTTTGGGGCACTTGGGGGTGACCCATAACTTGTAAGCAGTAATTGCGAGGTAGGAATCCAGAGAAAGATCCTCAAGGGGAGGGTGACTAGTTGGCACGTGCCATTTTGCCCTTCTCCTCCTTTGTCCTCTTGATTCCTGCCTAGATAACGGGCTAGATGGCAAGAGCTCTGGCAGCCATTTTGGCCCACGAGGCAGCCCTGGGCACGGAGGCTAAGAATGAAGGAGCTCGTATTCACAAAACACCACAGCAGCCCTGTGGTAAAGCCAACCTTTATACATTAATTAATTAATTAATTAACGTCTATCTCATCTAGATTGTTCACTCCAATCTTCGTTCTTAGCAGCCAAACTCTACTCCAGGGATATCCCCATTTTGGGTTCGACTTTTTTGTCACTCACAGCCAAGAGGCCTGATTTGGGCTTGAAGGCCGCGGGGCTGGCACCAGGATCTCAGCATTGCTCTCATCAAAGAATCTCTCTCTTTTTTTTTTTTTAATGTTTATTCATTTTCGAGAGACAGAGCACGAGTGGGGGACCGGCAGAGAGAGAGGGAGACACAGCATCGGAAGCAGGCTCCAGGCTCTGAGCTGTCAGCACACAGCCCGACACGGGGCTCGAACCCATGAACCGTGAGATCATGATCTGAGCCAAAGTCAGACGCCCAACCGACCGAGCCACCCAGGCGCCCCACCAAAGAGGCTGTCTTGAGAGAAGGGGGTCTGAGGGGACCACCACCCCTTCTGAGCCCCAGGCCTTGAAGACCTTAGCGCCTCTCCAGTATGATTACTGGTCAACCCACTCCCAGCACCCGGGGCATGTACTCAGGGCGGGCTTGAGGAATTCACTTAAGGAAACTGACGCTTGTCAGCCACTTCCCCCGCGAAGGGACATCTTCACCACAGAGACTTGGATTCCTGTCTAAGAAAGCGTCTCCAAGGAACCTTCCAGGCAGGTAATTGGTGAGAAGATTTAAGAGGATAGCACTCACAGCAAGGATAACTGAGTGCCTGGCCCACGGTAAGTGCCCATAAATGCGTACTTCTGTTGCAATGTCAGACAAGTAGCAAATCTGATTCCCCGCCCGTAAACAGAACACAGCAGTTAAGAGCATGGGCTTCCAATCACCCAGACCTGGGTTTGGATCTGAGCTCCATCACCCCCCGGCTGGGTGATCTCGGGCAAATTACTTAACCTCTCTGAGCCTCGGTTTCCTCATCTGTGAAGATGGGGATGATCAGAATGGTTCTGAAGGTTACATGACATAACGCAAAGAGCCAACACACGGCCAGTGATCACCGCTTCAGGGTCCTGCTGGGCAACGATGCCGGCCATGCACCGCGCCCGAGCCAGCAAGGTCTCGCAAGGAAACACGATTCACTCTGCACTGCACTCTAACCTGTGTGTGCTCTTACCAAGTGAACAAAACCCCAGCGACTGACCGACTGTCCCTCTGAATTACAGGCACACAGATTGTACAGGAGCAAAGAACAGAATGCCTGGGAGGATGCTAAGAGCCAAAAGAGTGACTCTTAGTTCTGCTTCGGGCCGACAGGAGACCCGCGACCTGTTCCCAGCGTGACCCCATTTCCCGTGCGGTCTGGAGCGGGTCACCTCCCTTCTCTGAACCTGGCTGATGACGAATCCATGCTCAAGCCCCTGCCAGCCCTGCCCGTCAATGAGCCCAACATTCCTTCCCCCAGGAACCCGACCCATCCTCCCAAGTTTCACTAGAGACGGAGACGACAAACCCACTTTCTTTTTCTGGAGGTTTTTCTTCTTCTTTTTTTGAGAGAGCGAGCGAGAGAGCGTGTGAGTGGGGGAGAGGGGCAGAGGGAGAAAGAGAGAGAGAGAGAGAGACGATCTTAAGCAGGCTCCACGCTCAGCACAGAGCCCGACGTGGGGCTCCATCCCACGACCCTGGGGTCATGACCAAGGCCAAAATCAAGTCAGACGCTCAACCAGCGGAGCCACCCAGGGGCCCCCGGAGGTTTTTCTAAATCAAGTGAAATCAGCTAGTCTCAGACCATCCCCCAACACAGGGCAGCAGCCTGGTCTGGGTGTGTGCAGGGAGGTGTGCGGGAGGGTCAGGAGCCTCACCTGGAAGAAGGGGTGGGTCTTGACTTCCTGCGCCCCCTGGGGCCCCGCGCCCAGCCGCTTCTTGGGGTCTTTGCAAAGTAGCCGCTGCAGCAGGTCCTGTGCCACGGGCCCGATCCGGGGGGGGAAGGGAGGGGAGCACTTCAGGATCCGTCTGGGAGGATTGGGGGGGCGTCAGGGGCAGCGAGCCCCCTCCCCAACCCTGCCCAGGCCCCTCAGCCACCCTCCTCGCCCAGCCCCGCTCACCGGGACACCTCCGCCTGCGTGTTCCTCTCGCCCTCCAGCGTGAAGGGCGAGGCCCCCGTCAGCAGCTCGAAGAGCAGGATACCCAGGCTCCACCAGTCCACAGCCTGCCAGGGCAGAGCCGGGGTCAGGGCCACCCCCGCCTCGCCCCGCCCCCGCTCCCCACCCGCTCCCCTGCCAACCCACCTTGCCGTGCCCCGACTTGCTGCGGATAATTTCGGGGGCCATGTACTCGATGGTGCCACAGAAGGAGAAGGTTCGTTCTTTCTGGGAGGGCAAGAGGACCCGTTTGGACACCCAGCAGTCCCCAAGGCTCAGAGTAGGACTCGCTGGACTTGTGAGGGTCGGAACAGAGGGAGCCTCCTGAAGGCAGGACCTGGATCTGTTTGCCTCTGCGCCGCGAGAAACGCAGAGCCGGGTGCGGAGCAGGAGGAGACAGGAAGGAGAAGGCTCGAGTGGGGGTGCGGTAGGCAGACGCGTGGCCCTGCGCTCACCTCCTCCGTCAGGAACTCCTTGCTGAGCCCAAAGTCTGTGAGGACGATGTGGCCCTCGGAGTCAAGCAGCACGTTCTCCAGCTTCAGGTCTCGGTAGATGATACCCAGCTGGTGGGAGAAAGAGGGACACTGAGGCTTCCTCCCCGACGCCCCCCCCCCCTTTACCCCGCTTCTACGGCTCGTGTCCGAGGCCGAGCACCAAGACCCAGCTCGGGGATCAGGGCAACCCCCTAGAGAAGGGGTGTCCGGTGCAGGAGTGAGCCCAGGGACCGGGCCGTGGGATGGGAAAGGCCACTTAAGACGCCAAAGCAAGGAACGGGGACGGCGCAGGGATGCCCCACGGAAACAGGTCCCAGAGGGAGGAAAGCCTACGAGAAGAAGGCCTTGGGAGCCAAGGCCTCAGGTCCCCATTTGAGGAAGTTCTGCAAGCGTGGCCCCGGGAGGTGGCCCCGGGTTCCCCGTCAGAGGAAAGCCCCTTTCAGGAGGTGCCGGAGGAAGGGACCCCCTCCCCAGGCAGCGCTACGGCCTTCCTTCCAGAAGGCCTGTGCGAAAGGCGCTCCAGTCCCCCCCAGGAAGCCCCAGACACAGCGATTCAAGGCTGCCACGGGGGTGCCACGTTCGGCAGCAGCCGGGCGGCCAGGTCCTCACCCACCTTGTGCAGGTGCTCTAGGGCCAGCACGATCTCGCCCCCGTACACGCGCACCTCGGCCTCTTTAAAGTGCTGGCGCTGGTACAGGTGGGTGAACATCTCGCCTCCGTTCACATAGTCTGGGGGGAAGGGGGGTGTGGAATGGACGTCGGGAAGCAACCCTGATCGC